GGGTATCCAGTAAAGTCATGGTCAAAGTTTGGGCTCTCCCATGTTTGGGGAATGGATCCGTAGTGGAAAGGGTATGACTTGTGAGGCCAGACACTCTCCACGAAACGGGGCTTGTCTTTCTTGTCGTCGTGGAAGATGGGGTCTGAGATCAATCAGAAACGTGAAGTTCAAGCGTGATGGATGGTGTCGTACTCATAGGCTCATCGCGACGAGTCTCAATCTTCCCATCAGTCCATCTAGGAATCTCAACGACGTAGCTCACAATGCGATTGTTTCCTTTTTCAGGGTACAGAGGAACATCGTGCCAGAAAGAAATGGGCTGGCCGTCTTTCTCGAGCCATACACGCCAGTCCTGAGCATGTTAGCAAGTGTTCAGCCGAACAAAACAGAGCACTCACAAGGGTGTTCCGAGCGCCGACTTCTCTTATTGTAAGAGAATCATAGTCAAAAGATTTGGCCCTAGGCGCAACAGAAGATCCGAAGACAAGGCAAGGCAACAAAGCCAGCTGAACAAGCGAAGATATAGCGACCATTGTGAAAGCTGCTGAACATTGGAGTTAAATGGCTTTCGTCTCGTCTTTTAAGCATGTTTCAATAATGCCAAGACGATAATTGTAAATCGCTCGCGTGAGGCTCATTTCTCTCGGTGACGAATAGAGTTGTTTCGATAGACGGGATCATTATCCTGGTAGATCTGGGCGATCTGATAGATCCAACGACGGTTGGAGGCTGATGCACGTGGAGAGTTGAGGAGGAACGTGGGGTGGGGGTGCACCAGTTGTTGTAAGCCGAGAGGCACGTGGGTTTTGTCGATCTTGGAACATCTGGACATGTACCTGGCTACTGCAGGTCAACGAAAACATTTGTCGGGAATAATAAAGAGGACTGTCAATCGTTGTAAACATGGTTCATGTTATGATACCATAGATCACATTTCCATCTTGCCAACAACAGCCTCGGTGGGCGCTGGTACCTCCTTGGTTTTCCTGGTTGGGATCGCCGCCTACCAGCAAACGCATCAATCGCCGAGACCATAATAGACGAAATATTTTGGCCGCTTTATGCTAGCTTAGACTAGAGTTTAGGCTACTATATTCTAGTGCCCTAAGCCTTAGGGGATAATTTAGTTCTTATGATATCCGGACGTTGGAGCGATCGTAGATATCTTCCTGCTAAGGAATATGCTGACCAAGCCGTCCAAACCAAGGACCGCATCGGCAACCCGAATGATGTTGACCCCGGTAGAACAGTTAGCAGCACACGGCGAGAAGGTGAAAAAGCGTTGCGAATCGGATCATTGAACATGAATGACCGCTCACTCACGAGTGGCAGTTGTGATAGGGTCGGTCAATTTATGGTAGATAATTTACATCTCCATCTCGCCAGTGGCCTCGATCCAGGACGCCACTTCCATCTCAGACTTCTTCTTGGGCTTCTGGATGCGGTTTCCCTACGAATCAATCACGTCAGTAGCTGTTCAATGTCGGTAGAAAATAGAACTCACAAGTAAGATAACAGTGTCTGGAGGTGCAAGAGGAAACCTCTCCACGATAATGACACTGATTTACGGTCACTGTGGCATCAAGCAGAAGCATCATTTCCCCCTTCGAAGATAAAAACCATTCGGCGGCGCTTGGCCCTGTTGCCAGAGGCCGGGGCCTCTCTGGCTGGATCCCCAGGAGGGGGAGGACCAGTGTTCAACGGCTGGAGAGGCTTGTGCAAGACGGTCTCTAGTGCGATACCCGTGAAAGTCACAGTCCGAGTAATGTGTGCCCAGAAGAGAGATGTTTCAATTCGTATTAAATTGTTCACTCAGCAGCCTTCGTCTCGGGCGCCACCCTCTTCTCAGTCTTCATGCCTTTCTTGTCCTTCTTGTTCTTCTTGTTCCTCTTCTTGGGTATGCGAACGAGCTCGCCACCCTGTAAATCATTCAGGTTAGTAAATGTTGGTACCATCAGGGCTGGGAAATAGAGCTTACCGTTGACAAAACTGTGCCGGGAGGGAGGATAGGGCTGATGATGTTGATGGCTATGAGAAATTAGCTTTTGACCTTTATGATAGCAGCGTAGGTGGCAGAAGAATTGTCCTCTCAGGCTTAGGCTTTCAGAATAAAGTAGCCTAAGCGCTAGCATAAAGTGACCAAAGCATTTCGTCTCTTAGGCTTTCGGCGGCCGATTCTTCAGACACCTCCATGAGTGTAGGTAGGACTTACGGTTGTTGCGACAGACGCGGGCAGTGTGGTTGGCTTTACCGCAGATGGAACAAACGGCGCGGAACTTCTTTTTTTTTTTCGGCTTCTTCTCTGAAGCCGGAGCCTCACTGGCTGGTCCCCCAGGAGGGTTGGGGGCATTGTTGATCTGTAGGTGAGTTCCATGTTAGCATGTGAGTTCGTGAGGCAGTGTAGAGTTGAATGAATACTTGTCGCAAAAGCGTAGAAGGAAGGATAGGAGTTGAAGAGAGGCTTGTCGCAGGGATGTCGAAGGATGGGATGTTGTCGAGACAGGGTAATACGTACGATTGGAAGATTGATCTGAAAGTACAGAGTTAGCCGGTGAAGACAGTAAAAGGGGTAAAGGGTACATACGGAAGACTTTTTTTTGGGGAAAAAAAAAAAAAAAAAAAACTTCATACGGCGCCAGAGTCTAGATATGTATGTTAGCAATGTTCGTTTATCTCGTGAAGAGAAACAATCAGAGAGTGAAGAGGTAGATGTGATGGGAAGTCTGCGAAGGCTTCTGGCAGCTGAGGTATGAGGAATTCGCGCGAAAGACAGCAAAGAGCGATCGGCCGACACGAAAGGATCGAAGAAAACGAAACAAAGAGAAAGGCATGGACAGAAGAAGGGAAATAATACCGAAGAGGGAGGTATAAGAACGTGACACTGGAGATGCGATGAAGGAAAATTATGCTCGCGGTGGCATCAGTCCTGACAGCCGCGTAGAACGATCGGGAGAGTCCGAAACAAGAGGTAAGAAAGAATCTCAATAAGCCAGAGATGCAAATAGATCAACGCAACCAGAGTAGCATGATCGTGATTTGTTGTGGTGGTGTGGAAGGGGAAGAGCAATAAGAGGATCGCGGACTCACTTCATACGAAGATGGCTGAGGAGAAAGGAAAGGGGCGAGGACGTGAGGCATATCATTCGGATCGCCTTGGCCTGTTCTGTGTGACTAGGCACTCTTGCGAAAACCAGTGCGAAATGGTTTTGCGGTTTGGTGATCGTGAGCATATTTTCAGAATCTCACATACAAATGAAATGTAGCGAAGTCACTTCTTGGTTGATGACGGAGGAGAAAAGGAAACGAGGAATGCAGCAGAGATTGAGATAGGTGGATAGGAACACACGATTAGATAATCGCGGTGCGCAACAAGCTGGGCATGGGGTGGTAAGTGGTTGACAGCTGGCAGGCAGTGCCGGCGATCTCTGGCCACCGCACTCTGAGATCATTCTAACATAACCTTCAACAGGCAGTACGCGTTGGGCTGTGTGTATGTGAAAGTGGTATACTAGTCAGCATCCCTAAATTCCGCGCGTTATCATGTAGTGTTGCGGTGGTTCAAGTCGTTATGTGACTTCGAAGCATCTACAACAAACAGGACTCACTACTCTCATGGCAGTGGCAATCGGATGCGACAGTAATTGCCAATTAAATTGAAGTAATAGAAAAACAGTTAATAATCCGAATTGAAAAGTGAGGATATATGTCTTCATGGTGTAGTTGCTTGCAAGTTCCCAAAGACCGTTCTCCAAGACAAAGTAGCCCCTTTACCAACATCAGAATCGCACATTTCATCTAGTGGTGCAACACTCTGTAGTCACCCTTTGATGTCCTCAGCCACAAGAAGGAGAGCGTGCAATTCTGCTATGACTATTTAGGTGACGAGGGACTCATTCAAAACGTTAGAATTACTTCGCATATGTCAAGACCCCATGATCCACCAACGGAAGAGTTACCTCTGCATCTAGCCCGATAAAAGACAATATTGGTAAAATCATACAGGACTCACTGTCTCCTCTTCGTTCTGGTATTGCTTTTCAGGTAAGGCAACCTCCAGGGGCCATTGCTGGAGGACCAAAGACCTCCTGTAGTCTTGGTTGGCTCCTGGTGCTCATGTTCAAAGCACAAGGCTTGACCTGGACTGCAGTTGCAGAGTTCATCCTAAACATACTCTGGGAGCTTGAATTCTGGTAAGGTTTTATTGAACCAGATCCCCAGATGCGAATTTGTAAATATAACCACGAAGACTCAGTTACGATTTTCGAATGCTGGGTGTTACAATCACATCAATGCTATAGGGTGACATTCGGTGATAGCATCGCCAGCGCAACACATGGACTACGATGGTAGTGCGAAAGGCATGAGTCCAGCTAATCAAGACATTTGGAGTGTAGTTTTCAGAAACAATTAATCTGCTTTCCACTTCTATGTGTGACGTTCTCATAAGATTGAAACCGCATCATTGCAATCTGGTTGAAACATCATGCATTCGACCACATCAGTCCCTGTTCTCGTGCGAAATGTTTTTTGTAAGTGCGCTGGCGTGCTGATTAAATATTGATACAACCTTTTATTCCAGGTGACTGGAACGGCGCCATGAAAATTCCCCTTGCCAAATTCTCCTTCGCCATTCATCATTGTCTTGCGATGGTCTCTGGGAAGGTGCTCCTCGTGTCTCAGGCCGTTCCCGTGGGAAGTGGTCGTTTAACTGGCTCGCTTGCATCAATCGATCTAACCTTAAAAAGATACGTACCTACGGCCATGATCGAATGAACTTACACGCACCAGGTCGACATCACAAAAGTTCAATAGGTAGTCAACGAGCTCAACAATTAATTCGAAATATAAACATGAATTGCAGGAACGAATGTGGCGTTGTCTGGTGCAAATAAGGTGGTGTGTCGGTGTGGCGGTGCGGCGATGTGTGGCGTCACCGCAGAGTTGTGTATACCTCCACCACATATGCTCAACTTTGTCGGCAAAACACCAACAAAACAACAGGCAACGTGGCGGAGTGGTTATCGCGACAGCCTCGAAACAATTTAGATAGCTGTTTCCTTCGGGAGCGCAGGTTCGAATCCTGCCGTTGTCGTTTACCTTTTGTTGATGTGTTGTAAACGCATCCACATACCTTTTTGCCTTTGAGTGTAACCCCAGTAACTCCCCACCACCTCTCCACTCCTGTCACGTTTCTGGAAGCATAAGATTAGATTGTCCAATCAGGTGGACACTGGAGAGGTTCAAATCCGCTTCGATTCAGCTCTTGGAGCCACATCGGGATATCTCACGAAAGTGATCGCGGACAGCGTGCTGTTTTTACTAGGTAGCTCTGGGTGAGGGAAATTATGTAGCGTTATTGATCTCTTGTGTGGATCTGACTATGCCACACTCCGTTTTGTAGGTAATCCTCTCTAAGATTGAGGTTTGTGGCTGGGTATTGAGCTAGTAAGAAGATGGTGTGTGGCATGGTAAGATCCGCCATATGTGGCTCCAAGACCCAACCCTGAGAGGCTAATGGAGTTTGTCTGTTATCCACCTAGGTGGGCAACCTGGTCATATCGTTCCAGTGATGTCCCGTGTAGTGGAGAGGTGGTGGGGGTGTCTGAGAGCAAAAAGAGATGGTGCTGTCACACACCAGGACACGGTTGCTCGACAACGGCAGGATTCGAACCTGCGCTCCCGAAGGAAATCGCTTGCGATAGCTGAATAGTTTTCGAGGCGATCACGTTAACCACTCCGTCACGTTGCCTTTGTTGATGCTGTGGTTGTTGAAAGTTGTGTATATCAAGGGGGCTGGCGTTGAGGCGGAGTTTCACCACCACTACATACCTCACGTGACCCGCCTGAGAGTTGCGGCTCCCTGCTAAGTGAAACGCAATCAAAGGAGCGATAAAACGTTATTTATCTTGTTCTGAGGGATCTGGCTGGTTCGCATTTGACATTCCGGCTGTATGTGTCTTCTGTTCCTGACGGATGTCCCGATCAGGTTCTCGGCAAAAGTGGGGCTTCTTGGAGATCCAGGCCGGGATTAAGCGAGCCAATCAAACGACAGTCCTTGCGGGCCACTCCCGTCCCCACAACCCGTAGCCACGAGCGGTACCTTCCCATGGACCATCACAATACTATGATGAATGGCGAGAGAATGCAACCTGTGACCTAGTAGGCCAGTCGTAATGGAGATAGCTGAGACCTCAGTTATTTTAATATTCTAAGTTCGATCAGCAGTTTCATCCGTCCCATAATTCACCGGGTGAATGTATTAAGACGATGCTAATGGATTCATATGCGTGATGGTTCGAAGAGAGATTGTTAGGATAAAGTAGTCTAAATGCTCGTCTAACATAGCATAAGGTTACTCAATTATTTTGTCTCTTAGAATCTCGGTGACGTATTCGGCTGGCCCTTGACCTGGGATTTCTATGCCCGCGCTATCACCCTCTCTCTCTACAAGAGAGCTTGTTGATTCAATACTATCAAGTCTTTACATCTCCATGTTCTCTGTGGCTTTCGCCACCGCGGCCTCAGCCTTCTTGTCCTTCTTTCCTTTTTTGGTCTTCTCCTTGTTCTTCTTTGCCCCCGAAGGGGCAGGAGCGGACTACAGGTTGATAAGTTAGCAAACGCTTCTAGTTGATACTGGTCAAGTGTTATCCACTATGGCAAGAACTTACAGATGAGATCACGCTGCCCGCGGGCAGGAGAAACGAACCACCGGACACGATAGTGACATTGTTTGCTAAGAAACATTAATATCTCATCTATACGGGGGTAGGTAGGTAGGTAGACTTACTATTGTGGCGACAGACGGAAACGGTGTGGTTGGGTTTCTTGCAAATGAAGCAAACCGCACGGAACTTCTTCTTGGCCTTGTTGTCTGAGGCGAGGCCGGGGCCTCAGGGGCGGGAGTGTTCAGTCGTCTTGCTGAGTGCCGCTGTGTCCTTTTCGAACGTCGCCTTCTTCTTCTTCTTCGATTTCTTGACGCCCGCCTGTTGCCCTAGAAATCATCGAATTAGCAGATGCCCATGCAGTGAAGAATGGCTTACAAACCGGAAGATTACTCCCTTAGTGATGATGTTCACCTAGGCTCCCAGCTTCACGAACCCCGTCACTTAATATTGTCGTTGCTCATTGGGATAAGATACCCAAAGGGATGAAGGAAGGAAGAGCCTTTGCAGATAGAAAATTCTTAGAAGAGTTTAGAAGAGAAACGCTGCGGGACAATAACTAATGTCATAATTTAGCGGTGCAGAAAGTGGGCAGTGGCAGCTGCGCGGCACTGCAGGCGGCAGAAGACGAAAGTTTGGCGGTAGATGAGATTCATGGTGGCAAGCACTTGAAACGATGAGGAGTCAACGAGACCTAAGCTTGTCACGAAAGTGGCGAAGGAGGTAATAGTCATGTTCATGGAGCATGAGAGCTGCTTTCCTTCTGACTACCTACCTAGCTACCGAGGGAAGGATCCATCTTGACCAACATTACCGGCATCAAATACAATCCCCACAGCAGTTTCTTCCTATCCAGGTTTTCGGCTCCTTCCAGCATGAACCAACCTCTTCGGTTCGGAAGTTGCGGGACACACTCCGGGCTCTGAATCTCAAACACTACCAAGTTGCTTCGCTTCGTCAAGACCTCCCTCCCTTCGAGTCGGCATCGATATCATCGCGCTACCTGCCAGCCTGGGAAGTGTGCACTTCATTCACTTCGCATCGCATGTATGGCTTCGGCAAACAAGAAAAAGGATCTCTACTACCACATCGTTCGTGCCACTATATCCACAAGAGTCATCAACTCATTTTCCGACACATCACCAGGCTACCAACCGCAGCCCTCCCTCAAGAATTTGGCCAGCGAGGCTGGGGCCAAGTCGGAGGCCTCATGTTGCAATGCCAGTTTCGCTCGAAGTCATAATTACCTTCATTTCGAGTCCTGGTAGTGATCTCCCCCTGGTACCACTTTCACTGTTGTAAGTTCTTACTATATCGACGCTATTTGATCAGTATCAACTAGATACATTTTCTGACCTATTGGTTTGTAGGGTCCTCCCACTAGGGTCGATAAATCCAAGAAGAAGAAGGGCAGGACGACGTGAATCCTTGGCCTGAACCCGATCAAAGTCCCCTACGAGGCGACCAGCCCTAACGTCCCAGCCCTCGCAGACTTTCAGTGTCGCTTTATCTCCAGAGATCCGCTTCATCTGACACGAACACAAAGACTGAGCGAGGCCGAAACCTTTGTTCATCTGCAAAAAGGCAAATCATTCTTCTGCCCAATGCCGAAAGAACTGTAAGTTCTTTTTACCTGCCCCGGTGGGTGTCAGAAGAACTATGATCTAAGTCTTAGGCCACAGAAATAAAGTAGTCTAAATGATAGCATAACCTCACCTAAGGTGACCAAACTATTTCATCTCTTATGCTCTCGGCCACTAATTCTTCTGGCACCCTGATGCTACCCTATGGAACCAAGATTAACTCTCCTTTGCCAACAATGTCACTATCATTGCTGGCGGGACGCCACTTATACCTCCGAGCAAAATTGTCTCCGGTGGTTCCTTTCTATTGCCTGCGGGCAGCGTGATTCAATCTGTAAGTTCTTACCATATGGGATGGGTCGAAGCATTTGCTAACTTGTTGCTCCGTAGTCTGCTCCCGCCCTCGCCGGTATCAAACAATAAGAAAGAAGAACAAAGGACGAGAACAAGAAGAAGGGCAAGAGGGCCGAGAAAGAAGACTGTGGCGACTGTGGGTAAGGCCACTGAGCAGATGGAATTGTGGTAGCTTAATAGTATCGAATATGCCAACTATATCGTATAAGACGACAGCGTGGACGTCAAGAGAAACAAGAAGAAGACAACATCTGGGTTAGTTGGAGGCGCGCAGCCTGTTGATGAGCTTCTTTCGCACACCTGTAGTCTGATGGTGGGAAACACTCTGGCCTGCCCTCATGTTTAAGTAAAACGATGACCTTCAACAAGGCGTCTGGAAACCTTCAATATAAACACTCCCCAAACTCGAGCTACTGCAACGGCTAGGCCAACTGGCATGGTAAACTTGACTGGACAGCCTCGCTCGATTACCGCTGTGCATGTATCCATGTAGTACTCAAGGAGTTGTCGCAGAAATTGAACCTCCGCTCGCGGTTCTGACGCCTCCTCATGCTTTACAGTCGAATAGTTGCAGTTAGGCTTCGGCAAGGGACCTTAGAGGTCCATCGCCGGCGGAAGAAAATCGGAGTATGAGCAGCGAAGAAGCAGTGGGTACTATCAATCTGGTAGGTGCAGGAAGTTAGCTTCAAGATATGACGAACGGGGGACGGGAAAGAGTGTGCTCGAGTCGCAACGAGTGCGGAGGCTACTTGAGAGGTATCTTATAGTGGCAACGGAGGGTTGTAAAACTTTGCGCCGGGAACCTTGGTCGAATGCAATAGTCTTCGAGTTCAGATAAAGCAGTGTCATTTTGCGACCGGCTTGGCATGAGCAGGTTCAGCGCTTATTAGAAGGCGAAGCATCATCACCTACGCTCTCGCCATGTGTCGGAAGATTTCGCCGCCGCATTCCTAAGAGACGAAAGAATTTGGTCACTTTGTGACGACTTAGACTAGAAATTAGGCAACTTTATCTTTTAGCAACCAAAGTCTTGGAAGATTTCTTCTGTTGCCTACCTGGCTCTCCACCAAGCGAGGCTTGTCGTCCCACAAGAACTGCTCCGAAGGACTGCGCTCGACTGCTGCCCTCGAGCAAACGGGAGGGGGGAAGTGAAACTCTGGGCAATAATGCCCGAACACCAAGTTCGGGGGAAGATGGACATTGTTTAATTCACATGCTGGTACTGGCGTTGCGCCTTTCGCCGTCTTGGACCAAGGAGCCTGTTCTGCGATCTGCTCCAGTCTCCGAGAACATACCTCTGGAGTCAAGAAAAGAAACATAGAGTCGAAACACATGCAAGGAATATGGATTTGCTAGCGCCGCAGTGGTAGGCCATGCGAACTTGTGCCAGCTCTGCTGAACAATCATGAACAAGAGTCAAAAGCATGGGGAGAAAAAGTTGTGATATTTTCTAGGCTGCAAAAAAATAACAATGCGTTTATGTGAGTGAAGTT